TTTATAACCTGGCACGGGTCGACTTTGCGCTGACAAAAAGTTCGGGTTTGCACTGGGTTGGAACTGGTACCAACCTGGGAATAAACAAATTCGCTATTGCTCTGTAACCCCAAACTGTCAAAGAATGCTACTCACAGAGAGACACTCACTCTCGTCTCGTGAAATAAGCACATGTTGCGATTTGTGGATATAATGAGCGAAAAGGGGAACTCACTTCTCTGAGCTTGACTCAGTCTAACAATGTATTTGTTATCTGTTAGTTGCCTACGCGATAACGTATTTTCAAGGTGGAAGAGGACTAATCGTTGGTCGTAGTTTGAACAGATCACGACCTGTACAGTTTACGACAAACTGGAAATCGGATCATACTCGCTTGATTTCCATCACTGTCCCCGAGTAATGTTCTCCTTTGATAGGTTCAGTGATCCGCCACACCTCCATCATAATATCGGGACGTCACGAGTTCGTTTGAGGCTTCCCCTTGGTTTCAAAGCCACTTGTAAAAATACACGCTGCCCGGGGCTCAGAAGCAGCCATTACAGTACAGTCCTTATGAAGACGAACCACAAAAGAAATGTGGAACCAGCCAATTTGAGTATCACTGCTCAGACTTCATGGTTCAGATTCACACTGTACAAACTTCAGATCTCTATTTGCTTGACTTCTAGTTGTAGAGCCAAAGTCTTGATATCCTCAACTAAAAAAAATCACTTGAGCAGCACCTTATTCTAATGTAACAAAGGTTCTTTTGAAAATTATTGCTTGAATTGCTTAAATTTGGCCACTTTGGATCTTGTAAAATTTTTAACGGAAACGCCACATCTGATCGAAATAACGTCTGAGACAAAGTTGTTCAGAAAGAAATGTTTTTTTTTGTTGTGTTTTTATTTGTTTTTATTACATTTTTTTTCAATACTTAAATATCTTAAAATGTCTGTCGACTTGGAAAAAAAAAACATATATTAAAAATAAAAAAGCTTTTAACAAGCGCTTACTTTTGAAATGTTGAGAACCATATACATTTGGAAACTGACATAAATCGTAGAACCAGAAATTTTGGATTTTTTAAAACCTTTTGTTAGTACGCGTTTTTGAAAATTTTGACACAGATGCCAAGGGAAAAAATGGTGAAATTTATGCCAAAGTGTGAATCAATACCTATTACAAACAATTATGTAAAGTTTCATGCAAATCGGAGAAGGTCTAGTTTTCCGATTCGTCATTTGGCGAGGAACTACTCAAGCTTAGAATCTTAGAACTGTACTATTGTTTGTTATTGAGGTGTTGAACAGTTCATTTTCCATCAGTTTTCTACAAACATTTGTGAATTTGTGTTAACTGTGTTTTTTTTTTCTGAAAGGGCAATTCAGCTTCTCACAACTTTGTCTCAAACGTCATTTCGATTAGATGACCCGATTTTGTGCTATGATTTATTGAAAAATATTGAATACGTTAATATAAGATCAACACCATAAAAGACCGTAGGAGTGTTTTGTTATGAAAACGGATGACCTCTCCCAGTTGAAACACAGAAAGTTATGATGTTTTGTAAACATGTAGTTAAAAAGTACAGACTGAAGTGCAAGAGGCAGTGCTATTAACACTTCGGGCTTAATTTCAGACCAAGAAGCGCAATTTTTCCCTAAAATGTAAAAGTAATTATAAGAAGTTCGCAGTTTTTTTCCTTTCATCTTGTTTTCCGTACTGAGTACCAATGCTACCGACGCCAGGAAGGCAGCTGCCACACCTGTACCCTATATATTGACCTAGCAACTCATAGACCGGAGACCAATGGCTTTACTTCCCTTTGACGCCGACTGGGATTGAACTCAGGCCTTTTTGGGTGAGAGGCCATTACGCTTACCATAGGTCGCAGTTGGAAACATTCTGTAGAAATTACGCTGAAAATATTGCTAGATTTGAGTGGAAAAGAAGTGCAATTATTCTGAGCGGTGAATGGCCTCCATGCTCCAGTGTAAAAATAAAACGCGTGTTGTACACTCAAAATAATCTACACGTTAAAGCTACGTGAAAAATCACGTAAGTTCTCAATTTTTCCTCTCCTCTCAGTTTTACGTTGCTCACGTAGAATGTACGTGATGTCCCTTGAATTTCACAGGGAGTTCCTGTTTGACACACCTACATTATCAATTAAATGTACGTGATTTTCACATAACACTGAGTCTATGTGCGTTTCACGTAAAGCTTGAGATGTCCACATGTAAACAAAAGAGTGGTACGTACACTCAGAGCGGTGCAAATCATGGCAGCATAATAATGGGGTTCTGTATTTTTTAAAGAATGTGACAAGATGTACCCTAGCAGCACACTTGTAATTTAACTGTTGTGGTTACTTGTATGCACCTTATTTCAGTCACAATTAAGTTGCAGCAACCTATTTTGATGGATGTGTGTTGCTTGGGTTAGTACAACATTATGGATTATTTCATTCTGTTTGACAAAAACCAACTGACTGTTTCATCGTACTCAACAGAATGATGTCAAGCTGTCTAGCAGTTTCTTCATCAAGGGAGAAAAGCATCAGGCTCATCTCCATGATCTTCCAGATTTGTGCTGCGTTTCGAATAAAAAAAAAAATGCTGATGTAGTTTATTTAGTAAATTTTAATAAATTAAAGGAATATTACTATTATTACTTATAATACCGCGAAGATTTTATCTACATATTAAGGAAATATTTGTATAAACAGTGTCAAATATTGACACTAGAATCATCCAATGAATGTCACCGACCAAAACACGTAACTTCTATGTGATAATCCTATGGCGGTTAAGTTTCATAAAATGAGTACCTCTACATGAGAATCACATAGCTCTTATGTGAAAAGTACGATGGAAAAAATCTACGTATGTTTTCACGTAGCATTAATGTGAAAATTATTCTGAGTGTAGAGTAATGGCGAGGATAATACATGAAACAGCTTCGAAAACATGGAAAGACAGGCATACAGTTTTGATATTTCCACATGATCTTAACTCTATTTTACCGAATAGAGATTCCTAAATGTATATCATTTCCTACGAGCACAAATGTTCCCTCCCGTGACATCTATGAAGGTAGTATGGTTTCCCTGCAGCTTCTTAGATAGATGTTGGAGTAATTTTCTTTCCTATTCCCTGCGATTGCAATGATGTGGCCAGGTGTATAGTGCAATGCTTGTTTTATAAATTTTGTGTGGGAAAACCAATAATTCCAAGTGTTTTTTTTTTATTTCCACGGCAACACACGATATTTTCTGCATAAAAGTATTGGTTGACTCCAACGATTAATACAATCGTATATGCTACGCTTTGCTAATATAGAATACGCCATTTTGTAAAAACAGTTGGTAAAATCAGAAGATCGTTAATTTTGTCGCTATTTGACTTGTATTTACTTTAAATTAATCATTTGAAAAAGATTTGCTTCAATTGCTGGGGATGGAAATAATTGGTTTGAATAGTTCTGGAGAGTTCAAATTATTTGAAAATTAGTAGTCACGAAGCCCATATTTAAGATTTCCCTAGCGGGTATCCCGGACAACCAGAAGTCGTATAACAATGTACAGACAGTATCGTAAATTGCTATAGTTTAAGTCAAAATCGCATATAAGAACGGCATGCATCGCATTATGTTCAAATTAAATCATATAGAATGCAAATTTCCGACCTAAATGCGATGATTCATTTTTTCGTCGTACTGTATCACAAATCAAATCGTATTACATCGTATGACTTTTCAAAGTAAATTTGTTATTACAGATTAAATCGTATATGATGATAGATAGATCAATCCGTTTAAATTAAATAAAAATTTGCATGTATATGGCCGCCACTTTTGTACGTATAAGCCATTTCTTTGCATTCCATAGGATTTTTTTGTTTGTGTATATTTTTGTACATCACGAAAACAACTTTGAATATACGTGCATTCTGGTTGTCCGAGATGTATTACCAAAACTGAGTAAAATTAATTAAAATGGTATTTCGAAATACCAACACACAATTTCAGAGGAATCTCGCTTCGCCATAATACATTATGCCATTTTTTTCACAGTGCCTCTAGCTCAACCATCTCCAGCACCACCTCATAGGGTAACTTTATCCCGTCGGATATGCGCGCCAATTGATGAGGTCCCATTTAAGCTGATTAATATCAGCTGTGTCGAGGTGCGGTGAACGTCGACGGCTACAAGAGTAGACAGCCAGCCGGTAGCATGCTGAAAGCCATTTGTAAAACTTATCTTTAGCCTGAACCCACCTACATGAGACAGTGGAAGGGATTCTATCTGCTCTACTCGTCAAACATCAGGATCAGTTGAAATGCATCGACACAGCAGCGCCAAGGAAGAGAAGAATCTTCCTGCTTTGCTTCGAGGCACTGTCGCAAGAGCCTCTGTAATTAATTTAATTTTACACGAAATTTACATGATACTATGCTGGAGAATAAGATGTGCGCTGTTGAGGCAGCGAACGAGTTCATATCGTTCTCCTGGTACAGACGATTTAGACATCAGGACGATGTATGAGTGTGCAAAACGGCTTAAAAATTGAGTTTAGCTACTTAACTCGTTCATGTTTGACTGCAGCAGCACAGGCTGATTCCAGAATGCTGCAAAGAGGAGGGTAATTTTTGCAAAATTGACTTTACCAACTGGAAAATTAAATCATGGGTTAGAGATTTGCTTCGTTCGTTGGGCATAATATTTAAGTTGGCACATGATCTCCTTACATCTACCACCTTCATCAGCTCTCGAAGAAAGAGATGGATGGCAGATCGATGGAAGTTTTAATGGAGCGTTGTTATCCTGGAGCAGATTTTCCATAACAGCGACTACACCGTAGGCGTATGCTGGGAGGATTAATTTGTGTTTGGTTCTTTGGAGGAACAATCTCGATTACACGTTCAAGGGATGTAATCTGTTTAGATAAAGTGATGAGTCGGAAAAGTATGCGGAGAGATTTATCCAAGCATGGATCATGGAATGTTGTTCACTTTACCTTGATCTAAACTGGTTCACTCTTTGCTGGTATGCCATCATTTTGATTCTCAAAATAAAAAAAAAACTAACTTTCCACAAAAGCCACTTATCTCAATGAGAACTTCTTCTACTTTTCACCAACCAATTTCAAACCACAAAAAACACCTCAAATATATTTCTCGATATTTAATTCACAATTTTACACAAACAGTTCGATTCGATTCGACCGCCCGAGGTTTCAGGAAAATCGTTTTCCGCGTTCGTTTCCCGTAATCGGTTATCACTACCGTCGAAAAAAAATATCCGCGCCCGCCACAATTTGTAAAAAAGAGCTTAAACCTTCCTTCGGTCGCCTATCGATTTTCGATTAGCATAAACTTGGAGCGACCTGGAGGTTCTTTTTTTTTTTATTAACCAACAGAAAAAAAAGCGAATGTGTAAGGATTCAAACCGGATCGTAGACTCGTTTCGCGAACAATAATGGAGCGCATCGGTTTCAGCTGATCTGAGCCGTGTGGATGAGGATTTCTTGTAGAGCTGCTCTTCGCCTCTCGCCTCTCGCCACTCGCTCAGAATCGATTTAATTTTAAATCTGTTTTTCTTCCAAGTGTGAACGTACACGGGTGTAAATACGCGACTGTAGAAAAGGAAAAAAAGAAATACCGGTCGGCTTTCTAAGATCTGAGGAGCAAAAAATCGCGCGAATGTGTAGGAGATTCTCGGCTTGCGTCAATGGTGCATCTGTTTGTTGTTGAGTTTTTGCTCTAAAAGAACGAGGATGATGCTTCTGCTAGGTGTATTTTTTTCTTCAGAGCGGTGTGTCATTCATCCTCTCATCCATAATTAAGTCATCTTTCACGGTTTCATGGGCATCAGCTATCCGTTAGGTGGAATGAAAAATGCGAAGGTCGTGCTGATCACCAGCTGTGCCATCGCCAGAGGCAGGTGGAACTTTGTTTCGAGGCGTAGGAGGTGAAAATGAGTGTAGTTTATTTTAATGAAATGAAAAAACGACGATACAAATAACTGACTGAGTCCTTTATTTTGAGGATGACCAAATTTCTGCAAATTCCTTCGCAATAGCTAGTAGCGAGCGTACGTAATGTAAAATTCCAAAAATGTCATAGCAACAGTTTTCCGAATAAGATAAATTTATATTTAGATTTTTATCAATGTTTAATCATTCCAAAGGACTTTAATTTGAAATGTTTAGAATTTAAGGCGAAAATATTTAATTTGGTTTTACTGTTGATTTTTTTTCCTATCTAATGAGGATTTCATAACTTTACCTCCCACCAGCTTGAAAATTAAGCACGCCATCTGAAAGTTGAGGCTTTTTTTCCCAATAAGATACATTTAAAATTATAATGGAGCACTTCGTTCTTCGTATGAAATCAGAAGAATGGAAATCGGAACATAACAAATTATATGGGATCATATTACTTCTTCTTTCCATTCTTCTGTTTCCTTACGATGAACCTTACGATGAATCCATCATAATTTGATATTTTTCTCATAGGAAGGAAGTCTTAAGGTTTTAAGTTTAATTTTTAAAGTGGTTGGAGGTAAGCTGATAAACGTAATAATTTAAAAATATACAATATGGCAGCAAAGTTTGATGAGCCAAATGAAAACTTTACCGCTTCCATTTTGAAAGGTATGCAAACATTAGGATTTTAAGCAAGAATTTTAGTGTTATATTGATTCAAGTCATTCAATTTCATTTCATTCCATTTTTGATCTTCAAAAAACTAGTGGGTTGATATTGGCTTTTAATTTGAATGGTGAATCAAGACGAATATTTATGTCCGATGTTTCGGGATTTGCCTTCTTTAGGGTATATGGAAAAACCGAATCAAAATGCTTGTTTCTTCAATATTTTTAAACATCCCCGGAAGTCTAGACTTTTCTGAAGTTTTCGGTGCATCTCTGAAGTAATTGGAACAACCCTATAGTTTTTCGTTCTTCTATAATTCAATCTAGGCTTCTCCAATTTTAAGTTCTTGAAATTTTCCTTAAATTGACCGGATTGCCTTGAAGAACTTCGATTTATCCTGAAGCTGCTGCAAGTTTCCTAAAGATTCCGATACTTTCTAGCCCGAGTAATAACTTGAAACCTTAAATTGGAATGGATTACCCTGATATACCTTTGAGGTAAAATACCAAAATATTGTTCCCACAATACCATTCATGTACAAATTATGTAAATGTAATGCCAAAAAACCCGAATTTATCCACCTATGGTGTGATCAGACCCTTCTTACTTATTCAAGTTTATTTATTTTATTGTTATTATCAGTGACCAAGCCCCCCACCCCCGTGTCATCCAGTGACACTACGCCACTGCCTGGGGGTACCTGGAATATATCCGGGTGTAGTCTATTTGGTGAGGCTACCAATCACCTTATCATCGTATTTTAATTTGATTTAATGGGTTTTAATTCAATTCATATTCAAGCAACTTCCCCGGGGTACCCGGAACATGTCCAAGTGTGTCCAATGTGGTCTGGAACACTTAACACGACTTGCATTGATCTTATTTTTGAATTCTGTAGTAATTTGATGTGTCGCATGATGGTTTTGATACGTTTTCCGTTAAATCCAGCGTGAAGGCCCATATTCACCGGATCTTATTCCAGCCATATCTCCGGAACCGGTTCACCGAATGCAAAACCGTTCAATAGCGTTCAATGGGACCCCAAGACCTATCATTTGGCGGCAAGTTTGTCCAAATCGGTTGAGCGGTTGCTGAGAAACGTGAGCGCATTCATTTCGTTACATACACACACACACATACACACATACACACGTACACGTACACACACACACACACACACACACACACACACACACACACACACACACACACACACACACACACACACACACACACACACACACACACACACACACACACACACAAACACACACACACACACACACATACACACACACACACACACACACACACACACACACACACACACACACACACACACATACACACACACACACACACACACACACACAGACATGTTCCGATCTCGTCGAGCTGAGCTGAATGGTATATGACACTCGGCCCTCCGGGCCTCGGATCGATAGTCGGTTTTTCAAGTGATATCTATACCCTTCTTTGTAAGAAGGGTAAAAATATCTATTGGTGACAAATTTCAATTTTTATTATTAATAAAATATTTTGCATGCAATGTTTTGATATTATTCTTTGGTATTTTACCTGAGCTGTCAACACAACCCTAGTAGCACGCTTGTCACAAATCAATTGTAGCAACTTATATACGACTTATTTCAGTCATAAACAAGTTGCTATAACTTATTGTGATGAAAGTGTGCTACTCGGGAATATATGGTCGGTAAATGCTGGGTTATGCGCAATACAGATCCCATTGAGATCACTAGCCTCTTCCCAGCAACTCCTATCCCTACCTCCCCGTGGTACCTACTGTGAGCAACCATAGGGAAGATCGGATAACCAACCCCGGTGGGAGCTTTGGCAAGCCTGAGCGTCTGTTCTTCAGGAGGAGCGGCTCACAACAGCGTCTGTTCCCCATGTTAGGGGCGGCTGATCTACGTCCGAGTGCCAGTGAAGGACTCTAAGCACAACTGTGCACCCTGGTCCTCCGGGAAGTTAGGGGGTTGGTGTCAGGCCCTGCGAGCCAGCCGTAAAAAAGCATTGCAACGGAAAATCAGCAACAGAGGAATACGAACCGAGACCAACGGCAACGACCCCAGCAACGAAATAGGACTTGCGATTGGAAACTCGGCATGTGGAACTGTCGATCTCTCAATCTACTGAAGGACCGCGGATTCGGCATCGTAGCGCTGCAGGAGGTGTGATGGACAGGATCCATGGTGCGAACGTTTAGAGGTAATCATACCATCTACTAGAGTTGCGGCAACACACGCGAGCTGGGACACAGCTGGTGATCGGTTGGTGGCCGATCGACGAAAGAATGTGCAGGTTGAGGATCAAGGGTCGATTCTTCAACTTTAGCATAATCAACGTGCACAGCCCTCACTCCGGAAGCACTGATGATGACAAGGACGCAGTTTTCCGCGCAGCTCGAGTACGATCGCTGCCCAAGACACAACGCCAAGATCATCATAGAAGACCTAAACGCTCAGGTAGGCCAGGAGGAGGAATTCAGACCGACGATGGGAAAGTTCAGCGCCTACCAGTTGACGAACGGGAACGGCCTACGACTCAGTGATTTCGCCACCTCCAAGAACATGGCCATACGTAGCACCTTTTTCCAACACATCCTCCCTTATCGTTACACCTGGAGATCACCACAGCAGACGGAACCGCAAATCGACCACGTTCTTATTGATGGACGGTACTTCTCCGACATTATCGACGTCAGGACCTATCGTGGCGCTAACATTGACTCTGACCACTACCTGGTGATGGTCAAACTGCGCCCAAAACTTTCCGTTATCAACAATGTACGGTACCGACGTCCGCCACGGTACAACCTAGAGCGACTGAAGCAACCGGATGTCGCCTTAGCATAGGCGCAGAATCTCGAGGCAGCGTTGCCAGAGGAGGATGAGCTCGATGTACCCCCTCTAGAGGAAATGGAATTGCTGTGCCGTTCCCAAGGACGGGAGCCTCTTGACGGACGGACGTGAGGTGATTGAAAGGTGGAAGCAGCACTTCGATGCGCACCTGAATGGCGAGGAGAACGTAGGCACGGGAGACTACGTCAGTGCATCAGAGGACGGAACTGACCCAACTTCCACGCTGAGGGAAGTTAAGGGTGCCATTCAGCAACTCAAAAACAACAAAGCAGCTGGTAAGGATGGTATTGCAGCCGAACTCATCAAGATGGGCCCAGAAAAGTTGGCCACCTGCCTGCACCGGATGATAGTCAGGATCTGGGAAACAGAACAGCTACCGGAGGAATGGAAGGAGGGGGTAATCTGCCCCATTCACAAGAAAGGCGACCATTTAGAATGTGAGAACTTCAGAGCGATCACCATTTTGATTGCCACCTATAAAGTGCTATCCCAGATCATCTTCCATCGTCTATTACCTAAACTGACCGAGTTCGTGAGAAGTTATCAAGCCGGCTTCATCAACGGCCGATCGACAACGGATCAGATCTTCACCGTACGGCAAATCCTCCAGAAACGCCGTGAATACCACGTCCCAACGCATCATTTGTTCATCGACTTTAAGGCGGCGTACGATAGTATCGACAGCACAGAGCTATGGAAAATCATGGACGAGAACGGCTTTCCTGGGAAGCTGATCAGACTGATCAAAGCAACGATGGACGGTGTGCAAAACTGCGTAAGGGTTTCGGGTGAACTATCCAGTTCATTTGAATCTCGCCGGGGACTGCGAGAAGGTGACGGACTCTCATGCCTACTCTTCAGCATCGCTCTAGAAGGTGTAATGCGACGAGCCGGGCTCAACAGCCGGGGTACGATTTTCACGAAATCCGGTCAATTTGTATGCTTTGCGGACGACATGGACATTATCGCAAGAACATTTGGAACGGTGGCAGAACTAAACACCCGCCTGAAACACGAAGCAAC